AGGGCCCAGGCTCCCCGAGAAGGTGCGCTGGGCGGTCAGGGCTCCCCCGCCACATGGCCCGCTTCTCCGCAGCACAGGCTGGGGCAGCTTGAGGGGCTCGGGTTCCTGAGCGACAGGGCCCACCGCGAACGGACCGTGGCTGGGAACGGTTGGTCCGGGAGGCAGCAGGCACTGCCCGGAAACCTACAGGCACAGGGGACCCTGAGCGAGGTGAGGGGGCACCAGTTGACGGGTGGGGACGCAGCAGGTCATTTCCGCCCAGCCCGAGGGGAAGGGGCAGGACTCAGGTTTGCCGCTGTCTCTTCAAACCTGGGCCCCTGGGTCCAGGAGAGGAGGGACAGTGGCCCTCTTGCCCTGTCTGCCACTGAGGACCTGGAGAAGAGGCAGCCATGTCCCTGGCTGTCCTAGAAGTGAGTGGTGCAGAAATCGAGGCAGCGGTGTTTTCAGGAAAGCCTGGTTGGCACTGAGGCCTTCGCCCGCTTCTGTCCACGCAGCGCCACAGAGGACAAGTGCCCACCGCCTAGAGCTGCTGGGGCCGGCCGTGTGCTGATGGGTTCCGGCTGCCGAAACCTGGGAGTCACTGGCAGAAGGCAGGGTGGGGGAAAGGCGGCCCAGAGCACAGGACGGGCCCCCCAGTCTCGATCAGATCCAGGAAACAACGCTAAGTGCTACTGCAGGGAGGCTCCGGCCCCCACTCCAGTGCTCCCAGCCCTCCTCAGTCAGATGGGCCCACGGATGCCGTGCAGCCGAAAGGGGGTTTGTGGCACAGGCACCCAAGTCCCTGCCGATCTGAACGCACACCATGCTGACCCCACGCCGGGTCCCCCGGGTCAAGTCCACTTTCTAATGAGCTCGCTGCCCACACCTTCTGCTCAGGTCCCTGTCGCCGGCCCTCCCCACAGCAGGCAGAGGGGACGCAGACGCTGCTTCATGGCTCAGCCTAGAGCCGGAGGCCGGTTCCACGGAGCAGGTCTCAGGATAAACCCAAGACCGACTCCCCCGCACCCCCAGACCAGAGTGCAGATTTATGGAAACAGTCGCTCTGGCTGGGGTTCAGAGAGCCAGTCTGACGTCCCCTGAAGGGAGGAGCCAGGCCCACTCGGTCTTCTGCTTGTTTATTGTTGTAACACTTTGTTTTGAACATCAAACGTGGCGCAACACGTGAGCCAGCCACCTCCCAGTGTCCTCCCCACCGCGGAGGGGGCACCGGTGAGTGCCGCTGCTGCCATCAGCTGACGACTACTGCAGAGAGCAGCTGCCCCTCTTCACCTTCAAATCAAACCCAAAACTCACTTTTGCCTGGAAAGAATACTTATTTGAACCCATTTTAAACCAGTTTTAACCAAAACCCCGTGTGCCCTCAGGCCGGAGCGCAGGGGCCCCCCAGGCACCGCCCTAACTGTCCCCCTGTGGTCGCCCTCCAGGTGGAAGCCGTGGGGTGGGCGAGCTCCACGCAACAGTCCCCGCACCTGCAGGCCAGGTCGTGTGCAAATGCAGGGAGGCAGGGCCTCTCTCTTTCACAGAAAGAACAAATGTCATTTGTACCAAATGGCTATGGTTTCCAGCACAGACGTGATCCTCACTGCACTTCGGCACCGGTGCAGCTGCCGTCCTCCCTGTACGCGACAGCAGGGGTGGACACAGGGACGGGCTACGTCCACAGCCAGGCAGGGACCCGCGAGGCCTGGAGTCCAGGACAGAGCTCTCATCGAGAAAGGGGCCGAGTGCCCTCAGCCACACAGCACCGTGGAAGCGAGGGGATGGTGTGGGTGTCGGCTCCTGCCCACGGCAGGCAGCCAAAAGGACGCGGGCACCTGCGCCAGGGGAACTGCTTGGGGCCTCACGGGGAGCCACGACCCCTCCCCACACCAAGGGGCAGAGCTACCAATGCCAGGACTGGGCACCTGGACAGCAGCTCCTCCAGACAGGCGTCTGAGGGACGCGGCTCCGACCTGGGACGGCCACCAGCCTGCCCAGTGCGCCCTCTCATCCAGGAAGCCCCCATGTGACCGTGGGGACACACAGAGCCAGGAATGACACCAACCCCGGACCTCCCCGCCGAAACCTCGCTTTCCTGCAGTCTCCAAGGCAGGACCAGGCCCCGGGCGCCACCCCCAGTGACTCTCAGGGGTTACCAGCCCTTGCTGATGGCAACGACACGAGCTGGTCACGGCCAGACTGCGCGTGCTGCAGTCACACACAGGGCCCTGCGTCCCCGTGGCCTCACAGGCTCCCACAAGACCCCAGGTGCAGGACCAGGGCCGCTGACCCTGGAGTGAGTGTCACCTGCTTCCTGACAGACCTGAAGGGCAGATCAGGAATCCTGTCCCTGACCAGGGCCCAGCGGAGGGAAGGACGGGGGCCACTCCTCCGGGCCCGTCCAGGCACAGTCTGAGCCAGTCAGGACAGCAGAGCTCAGGGACAGCGTGCAAGGTGGAGTTGGTGGCAGTCCATGGCCAGGTGTGACGCTTGGCACCCACACGCTGGTCCAGCCGCGCTCCTGAGGAGCGGCCGGGGAGGCACCGGCCTCAGGCCAGGTCGTCCAGGTCCGCAGCGGGGATGGGGTCCCTCCAGTAGCAGAAGGAGCTGAACTCGGGGCACGGGAAGGCAGAGTTCTGCTCCTTGCTGAGCAGCGGGAACACGTGCTCCACCAGCTCACTGAGCCTGTGGTACCTGGCAGGGGACAGGCGGTCACCTCTGCCGCCGGGCCGCCCTCAGGCCCTCAGTCACACCCAGCACGACCAGGGCCACCCGCAGCACTCACGAGGATTTGTTCCCCTTGGTCCTCTCCTGGATCAGCTCCCCCTTGGGGTTCACGGTGAAGATCCTGCAGTCTGGGACCCCAACCTGTGTGTAAGCGTAGACGTCCTGCAGGAGAGATCGGAAGTGACACTGAGGGACACACGCAGCGCGGGCATGCGCGGTTCTGCCCAACTGTAGGCCGGGGCAGGTGGGCAGGGTCCCGCTGGTCCAGCGCTCAAGGGCACAGCCTAGGACCTGGGGCGGAGCGGGGCTGTGACTCCAGCATGCAGGGAGGGCAGTGCGGAGACCTTGTCTCCAAATGGAAGATACCAAAAAGGGCTGGGGGTGCAGCTCAGCGCAAAGGCTCGGGGGACAGGGAGTCCAAGCATGAGGGACACAGAAGACCGCAGGCACCCACAGCCCAGAGGCAGCCCACACCACCCGGGGCCCGGCGCTCACGTTGGGCCGGTTTCCGAAGGCGGCATAGAAGGGCTGCCTGGACGGGGCGAACAGGTTCCTGATGTCGTTCAGACACTCGACTTTGAACTTCTCCGGCTTCTTTTCTATCACCTCCCTGAGCAGGCGTCACCAAAGGCCACACGTTCACTCTGCCCCGCCCACTCAGCCCGCCCCACCCGCCTGGCCGCCCCAGCAGGGGACCCCGGAGCCTAGGTGGGGCGACCTGTGAAAGGCGGAGAACAGGCTGCTGGGCGACAGCATGAGGGGGCCTCGTGGCAGGATGGTGCCCTTGTCGTTGACCCAGTGCAGGTAGCCGCGGGTCATGTCGGCCATGCCGATGGCGCGCGCAGAGCAGTACAGGAACTTGTAGCCGTTCCTGGGAAAGGGGAGATGCGCTGTGGGCCTGCCGGTCCTGGCCCTGGGCTCAGTGGGCCGCCGGCTGGGGTCACAGCTGACGCTCTTTCCCGGACACAGCATGGGCCAGGACCATGGCAGGGGATGCCAGGGACCTGGCCAGAGCGCCACCTGCTCAGCAAACAGGCCATCCTTGAGAGCGGGCGCCGCACAGAAAATTCAGGATGGAACACAGCCTCGGGGCCGAAGAGGGCAGTCACAGGCTCCCTGCGCTGACCGTCCTGGACCCGGCACCATAACTCCCACTCCGGATCCTCCCTCAAGCCCTACCGAAACTTCGCTTCTCTCCCTGCCGGTCATAGCCCTCCCGCAGGGGCCAGGCTCACAGGGACAGCGCAGGACAGGAGCCGAGCGTGTTTACCACCCCATCATGACCTTCCGACTGGAGCAGCCCGCCCACATCGGGCTCCAGAGCAGCCTGCACGCTCACCCCCGTGCCCACGCCACCTGCTCAAAGACAGGATCTTAAAATACCCTGGAAATAAACTGAAATTGAGCATGGGCTCTCAAGCTTCCATGGATTCTGCTGTGACTAAGGACACAGGGAGCAAGGGGAACGGGGACCCTGCATTGCAAAGCATGGCACTGTGCAGGGTGCCTAACGCCCCCCGGCCGTGTGCTGACCCCCGTGCGCAGCGCGCAGGCGGGACCTACTCGTTGATGGAGTGGTAGAGCTTCGCTATGCCCTGGTGCGTCCAGTCTTTGCCCAGCTGCGGCAGAATCTGGCCCAGGGCGTCGGACCTGCGGAGAGGGGGAAGGAGTAGGCGGACAACTCAGAGCCCAGCATCTTCTGCGTGCTGGGCACCGGCTGCCACCAGACCGGGGCCTGGGCTCAGGGCCAGGCGTCCCTCGTCCCGGTCTGTACAGCTCCTTCTATGTTACTGCCGGAACCCCGAGGCTAAATTCCAAGACTTCTCCAAGCCTCCCCGCATCCGCCCCACCCACGTACTTGGTGATGGTCCCGTCGATGTCGGAAATGACGATCTTGTCGCTCCAGTCCCACAGGTAAATGGTGCCCGCGCAGCGGCAGGTGCCTTGGTACTGAGTTGTGATACTGAACACGATGTCGTTGGGGCCATCCTGCAGCTGCAGTTTCGCCTTTTAAGGAGAGTGGAGGACAAAGACAGACAGGCGACAGGCTGCAGCGCGGGGCGGGTTTAAGCGGCGGTGTCTCAGGGCGCACGGCTGGGGCCGGGGGCTTCCCGGGGCCATCACCCCAGCCACCGCTTCCAGCCTGCTCTGCCTTCACCCGGGAGCCCATATCCTGAGGCCGGGCCGAGCAGAGAGACCCTGGGGCGGGAGGTCAGACTGGGACCTGGCGGGGACCAGGCCACCAGAGGTGGCAGCGCGTGGCGCCCCCAATCCCACGACTCACGATCTGGTCCGAGGAGAGCCGAAGCGACTTCCTATACGAGGGGCTGCTGCTGTGGCCGGGGACCTCCGCGGGCAGCGGCTCCACAGCCAGCGACTCCTCGAGCTCCTGGGAGCCCTCATCACTTGATGTGTCCTCCTCGGTCAGCCTGCAGGACGTCAGCACCGTCAGGACGAGAGCCCTGCACACGACCCAGGGTGCAGGCCTGTCCTCCAGTGGGCATGGTGGTCGGCCAGTCTCTGTGTGCTCGGCCCAGTGCCTGAACGTGGCCCCACTGCCCAGAGCACTGCTGCTGTCTGCCACGCGGAGAATGCCTTTAGCAGGCATACGTATGTTTCCAAAGTTACAAATAAAAGAAAATACCACTGTGTACGCTGCCTTTTAAAAAGCTGGTGGGAAATACTTCACACGGCGCTTCAAAGGAGAGGCTGGGCATCAGGAAGATAAACCCCCAGCTAGAGACCGCAGCGAGCACTGCGACAGGAGGAAACTGGACCAGGGACAGAACGGGCGGCAGAAACCGGCAGCACGAGCTGAGGTCCTCAGTCGCTGCTCGGTGTCCGGAGCACCTGTCCTCGTGCCTCCCTTCCCTGGGGACGGTGCCCTGACACGCCCGGGACAAAGCCACAGTGCCCGGCACCGACCCCACTCCCTGGGACAGATGGGCACAGCACCCACGAGGCAAGGACAAGTGTATTCACTCCTCCAGGGGCCACCAGATGCCACGTCCATCTGAGGACAAAGGCATTTCGGACCAAAGTTAAACACATCAACCATTGTGGCCGCCGGGCGAAGGGGACAGGGCCCACCTGGAGCTGGGGGGCTGCATGGCGCTCGAGGGCAGGTCGCTGGCCTGGGACACCTCTGACTTCCCCTCCTTGGCCTCTGGAAGCTGAAAGAGAAAGACGACAATGGTGACAATGGCAGCAGGGCAGGCCCTACCCACCGGGCCCTCGGGAAGGGCAGACCCAGCCCCCAAGTGCACGGTCACTGGTGCCACACAAAAGCCGCCCCAACCGTGAAGTAGTCCTGGACCACACACCGGCACAGACTCCGGCCCAGACGCAGCGAGGACAGCTCAGCTCGCCAGGGAGGGAGGGCCGAGACCACAGGCCTGGCACGGTGGGAGGTGTGCACCCCTCGGACTCCTGATCCCCACCTGGTCTGTTACCTGCTTGGCCATGCTTTCCCGCTTCCGCCAAAACCACCAGCGCCCGGACTTCTTTGGCATCTTGTCCTTGACCCAGGACTCGACTGTGGCCTGGAAACCAGCGAGACGGTCAGCTGGGGTCTGCCCACCCCTGTGCCGCCCACCTTGGCTGCTGCGGGGCCTGGGGGCGGCTCTCAACATGAGCACTGACTGGCTTGAGCACGACCTGCTGCCTGGATTAGAAGAAACCGTGGGTTCCACCTGAGAGGCACCACAGCCACGGTCCAACCCAAAGCAAGGACAGTAAAGCCTCCTGCTCATTCTCGGCTCCACTGACCACAGTAAACCCTCTCATGCTGTCCTCCCCAGGCCTCTCGCAGCCCACACAAGTGTTCTGCTACGGGGCAGCACCCCAGCCCATCTCCAAATGTTTCCATTTAGTGAAAAGAACAGAAATCGCAGCCGGCTGACTTCCCGGATCGTGGGCGCAAGTACTCTGGGAGCCTGACGCTCTACACTGAGCGTTAAGCCCGAGGGCCTCCGTGGATGCTCACCTTTGGCAGACTCTTCTGGAACACCTGCAGGCTGAGGATCATGGGAGCAGCCAACGCCCAGTTATAGTACCTGGGAGAAAGGAAAATCGCACAGACTCATTGCACACAGCTGGCGAGAGACCGGGAGCAGCCTGGGGGAGGAGGGAGAGGAGCAAAGGAGAAAGAAACAACACCTCGAACTGCTTAGTCTTTTACACAAAAGTGTGATCAACCACATTTCTCTCCAATGAAAAGCCAGTGCTACAACCCCAGTTTCCCAACTTCTGAGCAGGGAAATAGAGAAACCTAAGGAGCAGAGCAGCACTTCCGTGCCTCATTTAAAATAAAGTTACGGGGCCAGGATTTTAGCTCAGTGGTTCCGCCGCCTGCCACCTGCCTTGCAAATACAAGGAACTGAGTTCGATCCCCAGTACCAAATAAAATAAAATAAAATAAAGTTATGGCTCCGACTTCAAAAGTCTTGGCCCATGGCTCATTGTGGCAGGGGACAAATTTTATAGCAAGAAAGTGTGGCAGTTAAAAACAGCACTTATAAAAACCCAACAAGACTGTCGCACAACCACCAAAGCAAGGGTGCTCACCGGTTGTAAATCCGTATGACGAGGTTGGGGTTATCTATAAGTCCAGGGTTTTCTGCAAACTCGTGATAGGTAATGATGTGCTCCATGAATTTTTCTGCAATTCAAACAGTTACGGTCAGCGTGGTTAGAGATGTCATAAATCCCTGTAAGAGAGCAGCACAGCACCCCTCACTGTCAGAACTGCAGCCTGCTTTCAGAAACACTAACCTTAATCCCAGGCAAAATGCCAGGTTTTTTTTTCCAGGATAAAAAGAAAACCTGCTCGTCTTCAAGCTCTTCCCCCAGTTAAAAAAGCCAACCAACCCGCAGGGACAGAGGGACAAGCCAGAGACCTCCAGGAGCACACTGCAGACGCAGCCAGAGAGAGGGCGCCGGACTCGTGCACTGTACCCCGTGAGAATGAAGCCCCACTTGCGGCAGGGACTCCTCACCGACAGGGAATACGTACGGGGCCGCACGGTGTGAGGAAACACACATCCCAAACCCATTCACAGTTGCCAGAGACAACACACACCCGAAGGGGCCCGGCACAGCCGCCCGGCCGAGCCTCCGCCCTGAGCCTGAGCCTTCACAGCCAGGCCTGGCAGCCGTTTCCCGCCCGGAGAGTCCCCTAGGTGGCTGCGCACACTACTTACTCCCACGTGCCATCTCTGTCTCCTTTCATAAGAAACTCTACCAATCTAAGTCACTGGTATTTAAAGCACAAAAGCCAATTTTTGTGTTTTATTCGAATTTCGTATTTTCCATCCCCTCCTAGAAATTTTCAAACTGAGGGTTTGGGAGGATTCTAAAAAGAACGTGGCTGATTTAATTTTGTTCCCATTAAGAACTGGTGGCCACAATACACCCTTCATTTCTGTATGATATAAGGCAAAGGAATGGAATAGAGGGCGGAGAAGAGAGGCGTGATTAGCATCCGGTGAGGAGGCGGGCAGGGCCCCTGATGACAGTGCCACACAGGCCTAGGTGACAGCGGGACCGCCCAGCAGGCAGCAGGACGCACCCCGGGCCCCAGCCCCGCGGGGCTCCACCCGAGGGCCTCTCCACCCGAGACACACAGCGACCTACGGTCGCCAGCTCCCACCCCGGGCACCAGCAGCTGCCCTGTGTGCAGCAGTCTGGCTCCTGCCTCAGGAGGCCAGGATGCTCGCCCGAAAACCCCCAGCCAGGGGTAGACCCTCGGCACTGCAGCTGCCCATGTACCTTTCGAAATCTCCCCATTGTCGCTGAGGCCCCCGCAGAGGGACAGCGTGACGTCAGGCAGGTCCATGGCGGAGTCCGAGAGGCACTCGGTGCCGCTGTCCGCCGCCGCGCTGCCCACCGACTGCGGGGACTGGGAGCCGGACAGCGTGTCGGACTCGGGCCACTGCCTGGAGCCGGGCTCCGTGTCACTGCCGGAGACAGGGGAGGACTCGTGTCACTGCCGCCACTGCAGCGACGGCGTCTCCCAAAGGGAGAGAGGCTAGGGAGGCCCCGCGCCTCCTGTGTGCAGACGGGACCTCAGAGGGCGCGGGAGGCATCGCCGATGAGCACGGCCACCACAGTGCAAAATGCCACCCCACTCCAGCTTGGGAGTTCAAGTCGGGAAGGAGAAGCAGGGCGCTCACTACATCTCCAGGATGAAAGTGAGCAGGCGGGCGGGTGAGAACAGCCACACCCGACGAAGCCAGCTCACACTGCTGCAGCCAAGCACTCGTCAGGGCCGGGACTCAGCCCTCCCTTCCTGCCGGACACAGTCAGTGCAGCCGGGCAGAGGGGTCCTCCGCAAGCTGCACCCTCTACAGAGGCGAGGGCGGGAGGAAGAAGCGAAGTACGCGCTCCGGACGCGGCGGGACCCTCACAGAAACCTTTCTACGCAGCAGGAATTTGTCTGGGTTTCCTTTGAGACAGGGTCTTGCTACATAGCTCCGGCTGGACTTGAACTCCCTTTGCAGCCCAGGCTGGCCGGATCTCCTGGCCTCGGCCTCCGGAGCGCTGGGATTGCAGGCCTGCGCCACCGCACCCGGCCCAGAGCCAGACATGAACGAAAGGACGAAGAAACGGCCCCGTGTTTCTTAGTCCCGAGTGCTCACTACTCCACGTCTCTGAGTAGGTACTTAATGTCATATTTGTGATGTTCTAAAATTTCAAGTTCATCTTACAGCTAGTATTTTTAATGTTTGTTTTAAAAAAATGTATTATAGGGCTCAGGCGTTTAATCCAGAGGTTCCACCGACAGCCTTGCAAGCGCAAGGTCGTGAGTTTGATCTCCAGTACAAAAAATTAATATTACATAATCTTTTGAAAACAAAACCTCAAAGCTGAGTAGTGAGCAGAAGTGACTTAGACATACTGTAACAGGTAGCAGTATGAGAATGATTAGTGTTTGCATCTGCACTGGGAGAGACTCGGTCTGTGAACTCACGCCCCAGGGCAGACAGCTTGGCAGGAGGAGCAGCACGGGACCCAGCTGTTAGGAAGTGGCCACCAGGAAGTCGGGGTGAGCGGGTGAGGCGCGGGCCAGGCAGGCCAGGTTGGCACAGAGGATATGCCTGCTCTCCAACATGGCGGGTCTCACTATGCAGCACAGGCTGGCCCTGAATTTGAGGAGATCCTACTGCCTCAGCCTCCCAATTGCGGGGATTACAGACGCGTGCTACCAACACCTAGAAAAAGTGAGTGTTCTAAGGCAGCTTACGATTTACTTTTCCAATTACAAAAACCTTACGTTTAAGGTTTCTTTTCTTTTTTTTTTCTTTTTTAAAACCCGCAACTTCAAAGGATGTAATCTATCATGCAAGCTCATGGTACATAGCTAGGAAGGAATTATAAGAACCTTCCCAGAATATCTGTTTAAAAGTTACCTATGGTCATGTTGATCCTGTCTTTCTATTGAGTGAAAAATGACATGTTTTTCCATATTTCATTTAGAATTGTTAAGTGCATGGCTAGGTTGAGGCCCCCCCTTTCTGTGGAGAACATAAGCAGAGTAGTTTCTGAGCCACAGAAAACTGTTCAAGCCCCAGGCTGAGAGAGAGTCACCCCAACAGGAGGGACCCTCAGGACAGGGAGCCAGGCCTGGATTGGCCTCAGCCTGAGGGCGTTGCTCACCGGGACAAACTCTTAAAGCACAGCGAACAGGCACACCAGATGCTACAGGTTTGCAGAGCATACAGAGTCTGCAGGGTGAGCATCAACGCCACGTCAGTTAGGAGGGGTAAGCGGAGCCTTTGGTGCACTGCGGAGAGGCTCCCAGCCACCCCCACACACACGGCACAGACCCCCAAGCCACACACACCACAGTCACCGGCACAGGGCCCTACCTCTTGGGGAAGTACAGCGCGGCCACCTCAGGCTCCAGCCCCTTCAGGTCATCCAGGTAGATGTCGTCCGGGCCCTGGTGCTGGCTCCTCTTGTGGACACCTGTGTGTTGGGGGCGTGGAGACATAAGGATGCGCACCGCACAAGAGGCCTCTGCAGCCGCATCGGAGCCCGGCACCGGGGCTGAGGCAGTGGCTGTGCTCTCCACCCTGTGCGGAGCCCCAGAGGCCGCTGGCCCCAAAGCCAGCGCGGGCAGGGCGCACACAGGCCACGCAGCCCTGCAAACTGGGTCAGACATGGATGCAGCTCGACTGGAAGGTGCGTCATCTAAAGCAAGGAGCCCAGACAGGAACGTGTAAAAGATACCACTCTAGAAGACACAACACATCTCAACCATTCACACCGATTACAGATCAAAACTTTTGTGGACGTAGTGCTTTTCATAATTCACTTGTCCGGCAGCCGGGAAAAGACGTCACTGCAGCTGCGCCCACAATGGCGACGCCTTGGGAAGGGCAGCCCCGTCCCGGCTCTCAGCCACCCTGTGCAGGGGCTGGGGCCTGGGTGTGAGCCGGGCAGGAAGAAAACCGGGGCCCGGGGGCGGTGAGGAGCGGAGCAGACCCAGGAGGGGGCAGCGGTGGCTGGGGAAGCATGTGTGCAGGGCGGCGGAGTCTCCACTCTGTAACGCAGCTTGCCTGCAGATGGCTGAAAGCGCGCAGGGTGGGGCGCAGGGGGCAGCGCAAGGCAGAGGCGCTGGCCAGGAGGCGGCCTTGTCAGGTCAGTGGTCTGGCGTGAACAGCGCTCTTCACCTCAGTCCCACACAAGTGCGGGTCCGCGTGGATGCACCCTGCCCCGGGCTCCTGCGGCTCCTGCCTGAGAGAGGCCGCGTTCACTGATCCACCCAGCGCACACAATGGGGCTGCCTGGTGCCACGCATTCAGCACGCATCCCTGCCGTCACGTGTACAGAAACGGCCCCGCACAAAGCTGGGGAAGAACAGGCCGAGAGCA